TAATAATCCCTTTTTCATTCGACATACTTTATCTTAAACAGGATATTAATAAAGAACTAGCAGATCATGTAGCTTTTGGAATAATACACCAATTTTTTTAAATTAAACACTATCTAAAAATTTGCATCGAAGCGTTTTTTTTTTTTATAGTGATTTTAATCACTGTCAGATNCTTACCTTAATAACTTCTTAGTTTGCAAAAAAAAATATTCCGACTGCGCCAATGTTGTGGTTAGGTGATAGTTTAATATTGAATAACACCGTTATTAAACTTTTACTTTGTAATATATTTCAACTAATTATACATAAGAATTTAAATGACAATATCAATTCCAAAAGGAAGTAACAAAATGTCCAAAAACAAACAATATATGATATGAATAGTAGTAAGTCAGACTTGTTAGTAGTCGGCGGCCTGGACCGGTTCTCGTCACCCGCGGTCACTCGGCGTCGCGCGACCTGTCGGACGAGGAGAGGTAGCTGTGTCGCAGTCGCCATCCAGCGGTAAAGCCGGAAGTGCAATGCGACCGCGTCAAGATATCATTATACTTGATCATTATACTTGATCATTATACTTGATCATTATACTATGCCACGTCCCCACGGTGCCGCGACGCCCTTGTGCTGGGTTTTTCTTATCTATGATGTATGAGTCTATGAGTTTATCGTTTAATTGGGATTCATCTATGATAACTATGCTGCCCAACGTTAAATGACTAATATTTTCATCAAAATTAAATTTTTGATACAGACCCACGTATAATAACCTGCTGATTTTTTTTTTTAATTATTCTATAATATAAACACAATTATTATAATTAGAATATTAGAAACTGGAGAGAGACAGCCCAAGATAGAGATAGGTGGCGAAGCGTAGTAATGGTGGCAAAAACTCTTAGAGAGTAGGAATGCCAGTAAAAGAAGAAGAAGAAGAAGAATATTAATAATTTTTATGTATACCAGGGGTTTGTTTAAGGAAAATATGAGCCCCCCTTGAACCAGCGCTATCAATATTTTTTTAGGCAACTTCTAATAAATAAAGACTTAATGTCCTTTTTTTTCATCATTACTTTAATTTTTAGCAAAACATTTCTATAACATGTTTAACAAAGTAAAAAATATTAAATACCCTCCTAAAATAATTTTTGAATAGGCCTAAAGGGAATACCTCATTAACAAACGTCAACCTTATACCCAATACATTTTACTATAATCTCTTTTTGAATTTTCCTGATTTTAAAAATAACACTTTTAATATATTTTTGTTACACTGATTCTGATGTAATATATTTTCTGCAAAACACTTATCATAACCAGATACCCCTACCGGAATCAGTAGCCTACTTATGATGATAGCCCGAAGAGGATTACGCGTCTTCGGTGTATAAAGCTTGTAGGGCACCGGGTATGGGACACGATCCCAGCTAGGCGGAGCCTAGTAATTATTATTATAATATAGATTCAATTATTTGACTTCCACTAATTACACAAATAATGTCCAACTCCTAGTTATTTACCAATTTAGAAGGTCGAATCTAGTATTTTATCTAGTTTTTTGCATTTTTATCGTAATAAAACATTTAAATAGAAATCATAGTAATCATTTCTAAGTAATTTTTGGTATATAAAAAGATTCTACAATTGAAATATCCAGAACTGAATTAATTTTAATGATTTACTTTAACTAAAAAAAAAAAAAGTTATCATTTTGAATCCCTCTTGTGGGCAGGTAAAGGGTTATATTTATAAAAAAAAAAAACCAAATGATAGATAAAGACATGCATCTATATAAAAAAAAATTATACTGATTTGGTCATTTTTGATAAAGTTTAACAGTTAACCAAGTTATAAGTTTTATTTACTGTACTACAAGGAACTTTCATCAGAAACAAAAACATAATATTCTAAATCAACATTTCGCGATGTGTTTCAAATGTGCAATTAGACTATTTTTATCACTTTTAAGTTTTAATATTATTAAAAAATAGTATTTACATATAAAAAAAAATAATTAAGTAAAAAAAAAAAATTGTTTTAAATTAATACTGATTTTGATTATTAATATGTTAAAAATAAGGAAAATGACATGTTTAAGCTATTTTTTTAATCGTTTAAAGTTGATTGTTGTAAATGTTTATAATAAAAAAAAATAATTTATTTTACCATAACTTTTCGCTCAATTGGAAAGTTTGACATTGACGTCATTAAATAGAAAATTTTATGTCAATTAAAAAAATTGTATCGTTAAGATCAATATGCAGTCAGAAAGTTTTATAATTACTATTTATTGTAAATTTATCAGAAAAGCTCAATATTTTTTTGCATTTTTATCATAATAGATAACTTAAATAGAAATCATAGTAATAATTTTTTATTAACTTTTGGTGTTTAAAAAGATTCTACAATTAAAATATACAGAACTGAATTAATTTTAATGATTTAGTTTAACTAAAAAAACCAATGAAAAAAAAGTTGTTAAAAAGATTTAATGAGAGAATCACAAATTTTTTGATTGTTAAATTCAGGTGAAACTAAAAATATTTTTTTTTTTTAGATTTGCGTTTTATATAGGAATATGTTACCAAAAAATTTGGAATATTATTGACTATTAGTAAAACACACAAATAGTGTTAAAAAACTAATAAATTACAATGTAAAATTATTTACTTTTGCAATTGATTACTTTTATCATAACAAATCTAACTCGACAATAAATAGTCTCGCGCGTGTTAATGTGCGTATTGCCTGCTCGTTTGGCGCATTTTTGTTCTTCCTTTGTGGCATTATTGCGCAATAAAAATAAACAACAAAAATCAAAAATCCGGCCCGAAGGACCAAAAAATGTAACAAGCAGCCTCTTAATAATAAAGGGGAATGGCCTATTACTGTGCGGTGGTGTTGTTTATTTTGTTGAAATCAAAATGCGGAAATAAAAGGGGATAATAAATAGGTACACCTGCTTATGATTGTATAAATTATGAATTATATATTACAGTTCTGCAAATGAAATTCTTAAAAGTAAAGGGAAAGGGGGGGGGGTAACTTACATACGAAAACAATCTTAATATTATAATATAAAACAAATACAAAATAATAATTAATTAATAAATCAATAACTTATCTGATGTCGGTTGGAGAAAAGTTGAGACTATGGCAAAACTATTGACTGGAAAATAACTGAACAAAATCAGTAAAGCCTACAAGGCGAGCAGTTACTAATTGTACGGATGCTGAGTATTAGCTGCGCGAGACGAGTGTACTGTTTACGTACCAAAGAGGATGTGTCGCTCGCTGAGGAAGTAACGATGACCGGACGAATCATTAACACGTTCGAACCGGTCATACACGAGTGCCACACTCTACCCAACATTTCCTCCCCGAGTTGAAAGTTATACAACTTTTAAAATTTTTGTTGGTGTTTTAAATAACACATAAACATAAAACATTAAAAAAAAGATAAATACAAAATAAGAATCAAATAATTCATAATACATTAAAAAAAAATAATGAATAAATAAAATGGTATGAATACATATTAAAAATTATAAGTAAGTAAAAATAATAACAAAAAATGATTAAATAAAATAAAAAACATAACATTAAAAACAATTTTATTTTTTTTTGTGAGGTGTACCTTAACATTTAATGGACTGTATGAGAATAAACATTATTATGAGGAATCAAGGATTAAAATAGGAAAATAGTTTTTAACGGTGATCATTCACCTACTGGCAGCTTGACTAGTTTAACGACTGGGCGCTTATATAAACCGTCTTGAGTTTTTAATGTCACTACCCGTACTATTCCGTCAGTACCGGGATGTATATGTAAGATTCTTCCCATGCGCCAGTNCCGTCTTGAGTTTTTAATGTCACTACCCGTACTATTCCGTCAGTACCGGGATGTATATGTAAGATTTTTCCCATGCGCCAGTTAGTTGGTGGACGATTGGGAGCTTCGACGATGACTAAATTGCTCACCTTAAGGTTGCCGTCAGATTTTGTCCACTTTTGCCGTCTTTGGAGTGTTGTTAAATATTCTCGCGTCCATCGCTTCCATAATGATTGATGCATCTGCTGAATTAAGTGCAAGCGTGTTAATCGGTTCACAGGTATATGGGTAACATCAGTTTGAGGCAACGCTAATATAGGTTGGCCTATTAAAAAATGACCTGGTGTCAATGCTAATAGATCGTGAGGATCTGATGAGGCCGAAGTGAGTGGACGCGAATTAAGAATGCCTTCGACACGGACCACCAATGTTTCTAGTTCTTCATATGTTAATATTTGTATTCCAATTACACGTGTTAGATGAAACTTAATACTTTTAATTGAGGCCTCCCAAAGCCCACCCATATGAGGAGCGGCGGGGGGATTAAAATGCCAATTACACGGAACTCGGGTGATCATGGCATTTTGTATACTGACATCATTCAGAAGTAACTTCAACTGTTTGGCTGCCCCGATGTAATTGCTGCCACAATCACTATATAAGTGTAAAGGGATTCCGCGACGTGCACAAATAATGTCCAACTCTTAGTTATTTCCAAATTTAGAAGGTCGAATCTAGTAGATTTTGTTATATATACATAAATAAATTCCTACTTTTTATTGTTTTCTAGTGAAATAAATCTAATAAAATAATTTAAGCTTAATTTTTTTTTGTTAAAAAATAATTATTAGCTGTATATATTAAAAAAAAAAGTACATTAATATAAATATATATTTATATCGCCCATTGTGTTTTTAATAATTCATTATTTTATTAATTTTATATCTATAAGTTATTCTAACCTATTATGATTCGTCTCACAGGGTAACGCTAAATTAATAATAACCGGTATCTATTTAATAAATTCAATAACGATGATAATTTTAAATTAATTTATGCAAAAAAAAGTTATTTTCCGTTGTATCACATTTTATATCTTATATTAAATCTCATAAAAAAATTGTATAAATAAATATATTAATAATTGTTTAAAAATATAAAATTAATTTTGAGTTGAATCAAATATTAGTTATTGTCAAAGCAGTGTCGATTTATTCCAATTTTCTTACATTGTAAAATATTAAATTAAAATTCTGTTTATTTCTAGCTTGTTCACTTGTTTTGAAAAGTTTCGCTGTTAGAAAAAAATAAATATGAATGTCACATTTTATACTTCATTAGCGTATTCAAATCTACTGTGTGTGTTTTGGCAAACAAAAGTTGAGTTAGTTGGTTACGTTATTATAATATTTTTATTAATTACTTGGTGCCGCATCAAATGGAATCGTAGGCTTATTGATAGATTTGCAGCTAAAATACCAGGGCCTCCATCATATCCATTAATTGGTTCATTACTAGAATTTAGAGGCACATCACAAGGTAAGTTTATTATCAATATATAATTAATTTATAAAATTCTCAATACTTTTATTGAAACAACCCGAAGTATCCTGAGAGAAAGAAAGGTTAAAACTATTTCAATTTTTTTATGCACTTGTTAATAAGTTTTGCCATCATGACGTAATGCCTTATGGCAGTTCCAGGGTAAGATATTTTTCTAGGCATAGAAAAAACCAGGAATGTTTTAGTTTGTTAGTTATTTGTTAAAAAAAATGTATAGAATTATATTTTTACTATTTGATATATACTAGAAATAATAGTATAAATAATGACACTGCGATTTTATACAAAAATATTTAACGAAAAGGGAACAAGAAACCTAAAAAAACTTACATTTGTGATAAATATGAGACTGATGGATAAATATTTAGTATAGTGTAGGGGATATTTATTTTTTCGGTTAGAATTAATTAAATATTTAAAATTATTTTTATTTTCCACTTTGAAATTATGCAAGTATGCTTTAATCGCTGCAATGAAGAAAAAATCATTAAAAATCAACTAATTTATTTATTAATAAAATATTATTAAGATATAGCCTTTTTGTTAGGAGAATAGATAATTTTTTAAGCAAACAAATTTTTTATTTAAATAGCAAAAATACATTTCATTTAACATAAAAAAAATTTGTTTATTTTTTAGATTCGATGCGAAACTAAAAAGGTATTGGTTTTACTATTATGTTTTTTTTTTTTTGTGTGTCTGTTACCACTTTTTCTCAGCCTTCACCGAACCGATTTCTTTCAACAATACGTCAAAAGATCACAAATCGAATCTAGTCGAAGACATTACCCTCAAAAATTGAAAAAATTTGCCTCGTTCCCCGTAAATGGGGGAAACCTCCAAAAAAATTACAAATTTAAAAATCGCTAATTTTCGAAATTTTTTCAATTTATTTTACTTAAAATTGCCATAACTTTTTTAAAAATAACCAAATCAATATAATTTTTTTTAAATAGATGCATGATATTATTACCTTTCATTTGGTATATTTTTTTATAAATAAATCTGATCCTTTACCTGCCCACAGGGGGGGATTTAAAATGACAATTTTTTCACATAAAATTAACTTTTGAAAATGTTCCGGAAGGTCTGACATTTTTATATATATCTTAAATTAAAGCTAATGTAATATACTTTATTATGGAAAAAAAAATGTCGGTCTTTATTTTGTCTTCACGGCGAAAATGGCTACCGAATGCTATTATTATGTGAAAATTCTCGATTTTATTTTTTACATTTTTAACTTTATAATGCTATAACTTATTGAAAAGTATATGTCGCGGTCGCATCGCGACTCCAGCTTTACCACTGGATGGCGATCGCGGCGCTTTCCCTTTACGTCCGGCAGGTCGCGCCATACGGAGTGGCCGACGGACGGCTAGAACCGGTCCAGGCCGCCGGCCACTATCAATAACAAGATACNCGCCGGCCACTACCAATAACAAGATACATATAAGAATTAATGTTTGACCATATAGAGTTTTGTCTAGTGTGTTGTAATACTGTTGTTTAAGTTCTTATATATAAAAAGTTAAATATATATTAATATAAAGTTAAATACGGTGTAATTAATTATTATAATTATTAAAATATCACCTAACAACACAACATTGGCGCAGTCGAAAAAGGAATTTTTTTTGCAGACTAAGAAGTTATTAAGGTAAGTGCTAAATAATTAAAGCAATTATTATTTGTAGCACCCTTAATAAAATATTTGCAAAATATAGAACCTACAGCTTTAACTGGCTAAAAGCGTAGTAAATCCCAGGAAAAGAAATTTTTAAGACTTAATTAGCCATAAGCTTATTAATTTTTGGGGTTAAGGTGTATATAAGCTATATAATTAGAGATAGACTTATTATACAGGAGAATTTCCTAACGTGGTTTGTGCTAAAAATATCTTATAGACAAGTCCACTTCCCGATCACGTGATCAGCGCATTAGCTTATCCCCATTGACCTACTTATCTGTTATTATTAGAATATCAGCACTCAATATGTCAGGTAAGAGCATACTTGAGCTGACGATAAGAGAGTTGCAAGGGGAGCTGTCACGACGGGGTCTCGCTACTGGGGGTTCTAAAGCCGACCTTATGGTTCGGCTGGAAGACTTTCTAAGCCAGGAGGAGGGGGTTAACGCGGCAAGCGTCAAATTTCACCCCGAAAAACCAAGTAATCCTCCACCCCAAGATGACGATATCCCTAACGGGAGGCCCGGGCAACCGGAAGATGACGATCGCCGTTCCGAAGACGACCGAGACAGCTGGTCACTGTCATATGACACGTATATGATGTTATGCGGGTACGTCGAGGATAATGCGAAGCGGAACGAGGAGCTAGAAGCAATAGTCGCCCAACAGCGCGAACACATTGCTCAGCTTGAGACAAAGTTGAACGACTTGATAAAGCAAGTCAACTTGTCTGCTTGCGAAGTACAGGGGGTACCTTGCAGTACCAATAGGGGAACCCTGCCGCCACACCACACGCTTAGGCGAGTTATAGCGGACAGACCCGAGAATTCACAACTCCGATCGGAAGGGGGTGAGCAGATGGCCGTCCCGGAAAATTCCGACCGAGCAGTTCGAGAGGACCCCCCATCCCCCCCCCCGGAGCTTCGGACTGCAAATCAGTTCTCCGGTGAATTACGGGATACTTCGGCGGAACTATACAGTAGAAAACAGTTCTTCGGCGAAAAAATAAATTCGCCCCGTGAAAACGGCCGGTACCCCGGGTTACACCGACCGGGACCCCCCTACGCCGGTGAAAATTCTGTTTTCTTCGGTGGATTAGACCGGATTTCGGAAGAACAGCACCGAAACAGACAATTCTCCGGTGAAAGTTTCTGTTCTTCCGGTGTAAACAAAAATTCTGCCGGTGAAAGTAACCGGACGACCGAGGAACATCACCAGAACATACAGTTCTCCGGTGAAAATTCGAGTTCCTTCGGTCAGAAACACCACATTTTTGTTTCAAACCAAGGAATGACCGGTAATAACGGAGTAGAACGATCTGAAAGTCGTTCCCATCCGGACAATAGGACCAGGGAGCAACGACACGTTACTTTTAACGAAACGTCGCTACTGTCCCACGACAGTCTAACGTTGGCGCGTGATTCTCTGCCGGAGTTTTCCGGAAAGAAACAAGAGGACCCCAACGCTTTCATCGAAGAGGCTGAAATGGTCCTAACCGAAGCGAACGTACCACACCAGAAGTGGGTACGTGTACTGTCCCCACAGTTAAAAGCAGAGGCAGGTAACTGGTGGGGTACTATACGCTGCTTGAACCCCACATGGACAGTGTTCCGACAACAATTTTTGAGGAGGTTCAATAGCATTGCTATACTTACCCAAGTACGCAATGATCTCCACAGTGCTCACCAAGGCGAACGTCAATCCCTAGGGGAGTTTGTAATGTGGAAGAGCCAGCTAGCCCGTCGTCTCGACTCAAGGCTCACAGAGTACGAGTTGGTCGACCTAATCATAGGGCTTATGCGCAGTGACTATCGGGTCCACGCAAGAGTGAGACGCCCGAGGTCAATGGAAGATCTGCTAGAGCTGGCTAGCGACTTGGACGTTGAGGACCTTTCTCCGGAACGGCGGCCCGAAGAAAAGAAGTATTCCGCGGAAGGGAATAGCTTCAAATGGGCAAATAAGAAACCGCCACCGGAGAAAGAGGTTATTAGACCGGAAAAAAGCCCGTCCGGAGCGGCACGTTGTAAAAACTGCAACCGGACTGGGCACTGGTGGGCGAATTGCCCGGAAAGAAAAACGGCGAGTACGGGAAACGGGAAGAGTTCCGGACGGTTCACGGGAAACCGACCGGACAAGAAAAACTAGCCCGCCCAAAGAACCGTAAGCGCAAGCCCGGTACCGAAGTTTCCGACCAGGAACCCAAAAAGGCACCGGAGAAGCGCAAAAATATGCAGCTCGCCGCTATCGAATCCGGAGAAACGGAGTACACACGGAAGAAACGTACGGCAAAAAGAGAAGTTTCGGAAACACAGGAGAGTAGTGCAAAACGTCCTGACCAAGGAACACAAGCGGCTCTCTCCAAGAACTGTTTGCCGAACAAATCTCTGGAAGACCTGGAACAAGACCAGTTAACACATGAGTTGTTAATAGTTCCACAGTCTTTCCCGTTAAAANTGTTAACAGTTCCACAGTCTTTCCCGTTAAAACTTCCGAAGGAGTTGACCCCTATCACTGGTATTGCGCGGAACCGAAGGAAATCTGATACGGACTCACTTTATGACCTCAAAGTCCGAGCCGCAGATTTATTTACCGGAGAAAACTTTCCTAGCAAACAGGGTTATTGTTCAGCGTCCGACCAGGACCCAAAATACAATGAGATACCCGAGAAAAAGCTGGTGAAAGAAATCTCACAAGGTAATATTTCCTCTTTTAGCCCAGCCAAGAACGGTAAAAGAGAAAAAACTTACCCGGAGAATGTAGCTATTTCTGACATTAGAACCTGGCAAACCCCGAAGATGCAACTTTGGCCCAGTATGTCCGGAAACTCCGGAGTAACAAACCAATTTACCGGCGTTTACACCAGGAATACCACTTGCAAGACGGTATTTTGCTAAAAGGCCCGGTAAATAACGGAACGGACGGAAAGATTATCGTCGTTCCGTCAGACATGTCAGATCACCTACTATGGAGGTATCATGATCATGTTTCTGCCGGACATCCAGGATGGAAAGAAACTTACCGGAGCATCGGTAATCGTTACTTCTGGACCGGTATGAGAGAGTCGGTACGTCAATATGTCGCAAGGTGTCACGTTTGTGCTTGCGTTAAACCGTTGAACCGGAAGCAAGACGACCCAATGCGACCAAGACAGCCCCGCCAGCCATGGGAGGTTGTTAGCATTGATCTTATGGGGCCATACCCAAGATCTCAACGCGGTAAGACTTGCCTACTTGTAGCAACTGACTGCTACAGTAGATGGGTAGAAGCATATCCCCTAGGGCAAGCCACCGCTAAGACGATTACCGACACTCTAGAAAGAGAGTTTTTCTCACGTTTCGGCTATGCTAGAGTACTTCTCTCAGATAATGGAACACAGTTCGTCTCCAAAACAATGGAGAAAGCACTGGAGAAGTGGGGCACAGAAGGATGGACAACGCCAATTTACCATCCAAGAGCAAATCCTGTAGAACGCCGAAACCAGGATTTTCATCTTAAGTCTTAAATAAATCATCTTTATTTACTACAAACTATTAACAAAAAATAACCAATAAACAATTAAGCTACACGACCCAAGTAGTGGTGTTTGGCATAAAGTACGGCTTCGATGCTTTCATCGAAAATATTAGTATAATTTTTGTATTTCTTTTAATGTTAGTCAAATGTTCGCAATAATTGCGTACTAGATTACCATTGATTGTACAATGCACCATTGGGTAAGTTTTACAAATATTTCTTTCCTAACCTTCTGAATTTAATATAGTGATCTGTCAATGATGTTCGTAATTATATTAATCTACTGTTACCAACCGTGATCAAATATTTACATATAAAATTTCAATTTTAAAAGTTACTTAATCTTCAACGGTGATCATAACCTTGCAGTTAACTTTTCTCTTTATCCTTTTAATATTTTGCAACGGTGCTCGTAACAATTCGTTTCCAACCGTGATTCAAAGGGTTATACTTTTCTCTTTACTTAAAAATATTAGTTCCTAAAGTAAGACTGATATAATAGATAATTATTCATTATAGATATTTTTTGTTTCTTTACTGAATAAAACGAAATAAGTTGATTATATAAGGAAAATTGTGTTGTATTTTCATATGATTAGTAATTTTAAGTTGAGTAATATAAAATATAGAGTATGTAGGAAAAAACGTTTCACCTGTTTCCTTACTTTTTGAATATCTGGTTTGATATAAACACATGTAAATTAATTTTTAGATAAAATGGAAAAGTTTATTCAGTTAAATGAACAGTACGGCCCGGAACCATTTAAAATCTGGTTAGGTTCTTCACTTGCTTTATATGTTATGAAGCCAGAAGATATACAAGTACGTTTTGATGTTTTAAACACTATTGTAATAAACAAAATATAAATAATTTAAAGAAAGCAAAAATAGGTGAGTTTAATGTTATATAGGAGTTTGTGGTTTAATGCGTATATTAAAGTCTAGATTTAATAATTTAATATTTAATATGGGCAATGTAATATTTTTCACAAACATTTTTTTAAATTTTTTTCAATTGTTACCGAACTATGACTCTTTAAAGTTTAGGGGACGCGAGTATTACTCACGTCAGAGAGGAGAAAGCGTACCTAAGATTTTTCCGTTATGGTACAATAAAACCGGCAGTTCTTATCCGTTCATTAAATATTAATATTACTATATTTACCCGACTACTGTTTTATTTATTAAATCCCCTAAACTTTAAATAGTGATATCTCGTTTTGAAATTGATTTTTTTTTTCAAGAATTTTTTTTTTTATGCTAAACAAGATTAATAAAAAAATTGGGTTGCTATTTGAAATACTAAAGTTAATATCGATTTAAGGGTTAAGAGATGTAATCTTTGTTTTTGTTGTCAAGTAGCTCAACAAAGATTTATAACAAATAAAATAATTATATATATATATATATGATAACACTAATAATTTTCAAGAACAATCGTTAGGCATAATTAGTTAATCACCCGGTAATGAATTATTTTAAAAAAAAAATAATTCATTATTTGAAAATTGTACTTGTGACATTTCGAGTTGGTCAATATTTAGAAAAATATATTTACTTAATAACTTTTTACATTAGGATTACTGACACTATCCATAACTATTCTTAGTTACCAACATAATATATAAAACGGTCCGTTACACGTTACTCTTCTTCTTGCCTTAATCGTAACTACTTGGGGTCAGCCACCCTTATCCTAAACATTCACTTGACACGATCTCCCACATTAATTACGCTCACATCAGCCGTCCTCATATCGCATTAAATAACATTCCTCCTTATCTTTTTTGGTCTTCCTCTATCACTTTTTCTTTCAAAATTCATTTCTATAACTGTTCTTACAGTTTCCGATTCCTCTTTCCTCATGTTATAAGGAGAGAGGAATCACGTAATCTACTCAATTACTCAAAAAATAAAAATAATTTCGAGAGTATATTTGGGGGATTATTTAGTTACATATTGACACAGTACCGTAATTTTGCGATAACTTTAATAGACAGTCACCTCGTCTCTTTTGTCAGCCGCCTTATTACATCGCGAGCCCAGTCTGATTAGAGTACCCCTGCTATTTAGCTAGGGTGCAAAGTTTATCTACTAGAGCGCGATCGAGTGCCAGCGATGAACGCTTTCTCTTCTTTCTGACGTCTTTCGTGTGCTTACAAGTCTGCCGTCTTATTTTTCATATCAAAAGGTATTTCATACATTAACCAAATAATATAAAGTTACATATATCTATAAAAAATTTTTTTGACCTTTATTTTTATTAGCATCGCTAACCTGTTTTCAGCGTTAAAAGCTCGTTATTTATTTTTATTTAATATGGTTTTACCTGACCTGTGCCGTTTTTAACTCGTGTTTAATTTAAGTGCTTTTTTAGCTTCGATGCGAAGCTGAGAAGGTATTAATTTTACCATGATGTGTTTTTTTTTTTTTTTTTTTATGCCTGTTGCCACTTTTTCTCAACTCTCACTGGACCGATTTCTTTCAACAATACGTCAAACGATCACAAATCGAATCTAGTCGAAGACATTACCCTCAAAAATTGAAAAAATTTGCCTCGTTCCCCGTAAATGAGGGAAACCTCCAAAAAAATTACAAATTTAAAAATCGCTAATTTTCGACATTTTTTAATAATAAACTATTATTAAGATATAGCCTTTTTGTTAGGAGAATAGATAATTTTTTAAGCAAACAAATTTTTTATTTAAATAGCAAAAATACATTTCATTTAACATAAAAAAAATTTGTTTATTTTTTAGCTTCGATGCGAAACTAAAAAGGTATTGGTTTTACTATTATGTTTTTTTTTTTTTTTTGTGTCTGTTACCACTTTTTCTCAGCTCTCACCGAACCGATTTCTTTCAACGATACGTCAAAAGATCACAAATCGAATCTAGTTGAAGACATTACCCCTAAAAATTGAAAAATTTTTCCTCGTTCCCCGCAAATGGGAGGAATATCCAAAAAAATTACAAATTTAAAAATCGGTAAATTTTGTCATTTTTTTCACTATTTTTTCTTAACACTCCCATAACTTTTTCAAAAATCAACTAATTAACATAATTTTTTTTTATACTAAAACCTTAGATATTTTCCTTCTATTTGATATCATTTTTTTGAAAATCTAACACTTAACCTGCTCATTGGGGGGGATTTAAAATAGCAACTTTTTTACAAAAACTAACTTTTTCAACTTAATTTTTGAAAATGTTCCGGAAATACTGCGTCCTTTAAACATATATCAAATTAAAGCTTATTTTATGTACTATCAAAATAAAAAAAAAAAATTTGTCCCGACGACCTATCTTCTATGAGCAAATGGTTACCGTATTCAAAAATATGCTATTTTTCTATTAAAATTCTAGGTTTTGTATTTTATTTTATTTTAAAATATCTTATTAGGAGAATACATGGTGAAAATAGCTACCGTAATTAAAAATATGCTATTATTGTGTTAAAATTCTTGGTTTTGTATTTTATTTTATTATAAGGGGATTACACTGATTTTCATAAATATTATATCAATCTAAATGACATAGTATAAAAAATTAATCATATTTAAATTGTTTTGTTTCTTTGAAGTCGAGAAAGATAACTTTAAAATTTGAACTAGCTAAATTTCCATTTTTATTAAGTGACGAATGAGACGTACGGTTTTTGAGACGGAAACACTTGGGTCTTTCACGATTGTGGCACTGAATTTTTTTTAAATTCTTTTTGAGTTAAAAAAAAATGTTAAATTCATTTGATTTTTATCTCATTTAGATTTAATAACTTCAATAAATATCAAGGATTCCATTACTGCAGTCTCCTCTCGTGAGAAAAAATTCATATTAATATTATTTTACTATGGGGTTTTTTTTTTTTTGTAGCTATCATTTATTTACTCAGCTCTTCTTTTTCCTCGCCTTAGTCCCAACTACTTGGGGTCGGCCACCCTTATCCTAAACTTCCACTTGACACGATCTCCCACATCAGCTGTCCTCAAATCGCATTCACTAGCATCCCTCCATCTCTTTTTTGGTCTTCCTCTACCTGTTCTTCCTTCAACATTCATTTCTATAACTGTTCTTACAGCGTCCAATTGTTCTCTCCTCATAACATGACCATACCATTTAAGTCTGTTTTCTCTCATCTTATCCACGATTGACGCTACACCTATACTCCCTCTTACTCTATATGTTCGTTCCTTATCCTATCTTCTCTAGTCATTCCACTCATCCATCTAAGCATTCTGATCTCTGCTACACTCATTCTCTACTCTACTTTCTTATCAACCGCCCAAAACTCTGAACCATACATTATAGCTGGTCTCACTACAGTGTCTTGTAAAATTTACCTTTCAGCCTCATTGGAATTTTTTTATAGCATAAGACACCAGACGCTTCTCTTCACTTTAACCACCCGCACTTAATCCTCGTCAATACTACCACTCTTGTGCACAACTGACCCTAAATACTTAAAACTCTCCACCTCTCCAATCACGTCCACGCCTATTGTCACTGACCTCATTTCACCTACCTCGTGTTCTCCTTTGTCAAACTCGTACTCTATATACTCTGTTTTACTTCTACTTACTCTTAAACCCTTTTCTTCAAGAGCTGATATCCACATCTCTAGCTTTTGATTAATTTCCTCCCTATTTTTTCCTATTAACACTATATCGTCAGCAACATGCACCACGGCACCTCTCCTTGTATTTCTCTAGTAATTTCATCCATCACTGTAGGGTAATAAGTAAGGGCCTAAAGCAGAACCTTGGTGCACTCCTACTCTTACCCGAAAATATCTCGACTTTATAGACATTAGGAGTTTTCCGTGTCATTATATTTCTCGAATTACCAATTTGACACGGCCCGCGTCATTTCGTTATACACGATGCCCCGCGACTCGTGCCACCTTTATCAGTTGTCGCCCTACTATGAGTATTTAACTGACCAACACCGCGTGTTATACGCTACGGCGCAAAGTCCGCACGGCCGACGACGACCCGCCGCAAATGAGTTCTTCCCGTTATGAAAGCGACAACGTCAACCAACCAATCCACACCTGCGCACCGTCGCCTACAACGCTGCTAACCTTTTGTCGCCCAAGGATCACGCCGGACATCGCGTCGTCGACGCTAGCGAAAGTGCCGCGATATTATGCGAAGATTATTATTATTGTGTCCATCTTTTCGGTTTGTTTTATTTTTTTTGTTAAAATAACCCTGTTGTCGCTCAATAAATAAACGGCCCACGGGTCTTTACCTTCTAAACCAGTGTCGACCACATTTTGGCGACGTAAGTCGTGTCAAATTATAAAATATTTTTATCCATTATATTTTATAAAGTTATTTACTTTGTTTTTTTTAATAGAAACACACATATTTAACTAGCTTATATTATTAAAAATTATAAAATTAAGGAAATGACTCAATAATACAAGGATCAATAATATCTTTTTAATCAATTCGAAAATTATTAAAATTTGTGTACTTAGGCATTAGAGTAGTGCGTCCGAAAAATTCTTAATGATTAAACTGGGCATATCCTCGTATCAACTCCAATTAACAAATTAACAAATGTATAAACATATTACTCTGAATATTTTTTAATTTTAAAGGAATTCATCTAACTAAATTACTAACTATTTACTAAATCTAACTAAAAGACTTAGGAATTATTTTGATATTCTTAAGTCTTCTTTTAATATTAGTATAATGTGTAATTAAAATTCACTTATGATTGGTTTTATTCGACGTAATTGTTCCGATTTCAGTAATGTAAATTGTTTCAAAGTTCTATGTTTTTCAATGGTTCGCTCTATTCTTGAGTAAGGTTCTGTTATCTGAAATCCTCACCAAAGTAGTTAAATTTTAAAAATAGAACGTATTCAAAACCAATTTTTGCGTTACTTGGCGTTTAAAACCAATAAATTAAATTTACCCCTTGATAAGTTAGTTTGTGAGTATTATATAGATTCTCTTCAAATGCGTAGAAATTACAATTATTTATTTTGGTTTATATAAATTAATCAATCATACATTGTATACCTCATTATGTCCCACAAACTACAGTTTCTTGGGTTATTTTGATTATTTTCATAATAAACCAACCAGGTTACAAACTCTTATAAATGCTAAATTAAAAAATTGATTAATTACTTATGTTACACAATAATATTTGTGTTTAAAGTTAATGTATTATATGTTGTGTTGTTATTAATTTGAGAATTTAAGCTTAAATTTGTTAACTAACTGTATTTCTTTTTTTAATTGTATGTTTTGTATTATAGTTATTAGTACTGTATTTTGTTCTTTTGGGCGTTTATCTTTAATAATTAAATCTTTAAATAAATTAGTATGGAATACGGTAATCTTATACTATAAGTTAATAATATTCAATTATTTGTTTTTATTAATATTCACTTAATATTGTAAAATAAATATGATCTAATTCCTGAAAAGAGATTTTTTTTGAAATAAAATATACTTTTTAGTAGGTTGTTGAATGATATTTTGTTTAAAAAAAATATATATTTTTTAAATAGAAAAATAGTGTAAAATTTTTTTCAGATAATATTAAACAATTCTAATGCTCACGACAAAGGTCTATCTTCCAAAATTTTGAGTGAAGCTTTTGGAGAAGGATTGTTCACTGCTGCTGGTGAGAAAAAAACTTACTTATAGTGACTATAAATTAATAGTATTTAGTATTAGGTTAATAATTTTTCATAAAATATTCATTTTATAAAGTATTTATTATTTTGCACCTCTATTAAAAAAAGATTAAAAAAAGTATTTTTCAATACAATATAGACAGTGTACACGAGCAAAATTTAACAGTTAATAAGACTTTTTTTATTCAAACGTCAAAGGACAAGTTTTATAGAGAAAGTAATTTTATTAGCTTCGAAGCGAAGCTGAGAAGGCTTAATTTCACTATAATTTGTATATTTTTTTTTCGTGTCTGTCACTATTTTTACTCAACTCACACATGACCAATATATCTCAATCATTCATCTAAAAACACAAATCTTTTCTAATTGAAGACATCATACTCAAAAAATTTAATTTTTTCTTATTTCCCAGTAAATAGTAAAAATATCTCCAAAAATAGTAATTTTTGAAATCGGAAAATTTCCATATTAGCTTCGATGCGAAGCTGAGATGGTATTGATATTACTATTATGTGTTTTATTTTGTGTCTGTTACCACTTTTTCTCAGCTCACACCGAACCGATTTCTTTCAACGATACGTCAAAAGTTCACAAATCGTATCTAATCAAACACATTATCCTTAAAAATTGAAAAAATTACAATTTTCCAAATCGGTAAATTTGGGCATTTTTTGCACTTTTTTTTTTTTAAACAGCCATAACTTTTTCAAAAATGAACAAATCAATATAATTTTTTTTTTTAGACGCTTGATGTCTTTACCTATCATTTGGTATATTTTTTTTATAAATTTAACCCTTTACTTGCCCACAGGAGGGGATTTAATATGACAACTTTATCACATAAAATTAACTTTTGAAAGTGTTCCGGAAAGTCTGACACTTTTATATATATCTTAAATTAAAGCTAATGTAATGGAATTTATTTTGTCTTCTTGGTGAAAATGGCTACCAAATGCTATTTATGTGTGAAAATTTTCCATTTTATTTTATACATTTTTAACTTTATAACTTATTGAAAAGTGTATGGATTAACACAATTTTTTTATGAGAGATAATATTTATATCCCTTATTTATTCGACATACTTTATCTTAATCAGGATTTAAATAAGGAAATAGCAGATCATGTAGCTTTTGGAATAATCCATCAATTTTTTAAAATTAAACACTATTTACATATTTTCATCGAATCGTTTTTTATGTTAGTGATTACTTGACCCAACTATGCTACATCCCCCCCACTGTACCACGATCCTTCTGTACTGGGTTTTTATTTTTTAATATTGTTATTTTTATATCATCTAAGAATATTTATAATTACTTTCAGTTCCTAAATGGAAATCGCATCGACGAATTATCTCTCCTTTTTTTAACACTTCTCATATAAATACGTTTTTGTCAGTTTTTAACGAAAAAAGTGCAGCATTCATATGGAATCTTCAAAAAGAAATCAACAATCAACAATCATTTGATATTTGGAGTTATGTTTATTCTATTTCTGTTGATGCAATTTGTGGTAAATGATATTCTTAAAAATAATATTTATTTAAGTTATGTATTTTATTATTTACTTCTATGATAAGTTTATTTTTTAAGTATACATAATTATTTATGAAAAAAGTATGTTTTTGCTTTCGATTCTTATAATAGGATTAATTATTATTTAAATATATATTTTGTTGAAGAGTATTTTGAAATATAAATGGGGGAAATCTCCAAAAAAATTACAAATTTAAAATTCGTTAATTTTCGTAATTTTTTCAATGTTTTTTACTAAAAACTGCCATAACTTTTTTAAAAGTGAACAAATCAATATAAATTTTTTTTTTATAGATGCATAATGACTTTACCTACCATTTGATGTATTTTTATATTTTATTATTTTATAAATTTGACCTTTTACCTGGCCATAGGGAGGGATTCAAAATGACAACTTTTTCACATAAAATTTTCTTTTTCAACTTAACTTTTGAAAATGTTCCGGAAGGTTTGACACTTTTATATATATCTTAAATTAAAGCTAATGTAATGTACTTTATTATGAAAAAAAAATAATTTCACCTCTGGACTTGTCCTCATGGTGAAAATGGCTACCAATGCTATTTTTGTGTGAAAATTCTCGATTTTATTTTTTACATTTTTAACTTTATAATGCTATAACTTATTGAGAAGTGTATGGATCAACATAATATTTTTGTGAGAAATAATATTTTTTAATAATCCCTTTTTCATTCGACATACATTATCTTAATCAGGATATTAATAAGGAAATAGCAGATCATGTAACTTTTGGTATAATCTAAAGATTTGCATCGAAGCGTTTTTATTGATAGTCATTTTAAACACTGTCAGATATCATTATACTTGATCCAACTATGCCATGTCACTACTGTGCCGCGACCACCCTGTGCTGGGTTTTTTTGGTAACATGTTGCTATATAAAACACAAATGTAAAAAAAATAATATTTTTTATTTTCACCTGAATTTAACAATCGACTTTTACAATTATAATCAAAATTTATAATTCGTTTATTTGAGAAAATCTTTTTAACAACTTTTTTTTCATTGGTTTTTTTAGTTAAATTAAATCATTAAAATTAATTAAGTTCTGAATATTTCCATTGTAGAATCTTTTTAAACATCAAAAAATAATTAGAAATGATTACTATGATTTCTATTTAAGTGATCTATTACGATGAAAATGCAAAACAAAATTGAGCTTTTCTGATAAATTTACTATAAATAGTAATTATAAAACTTCCTGGCTACATATTAATTTTAACAATACAATTTTTTTAATTCTCATAATGTTTTCTATTTAATGATGTCAATTTCAATCTTGTAAGTTGAGTTAAAAGTTATAGCAGTAAATTCATTTTTTTTTTTTATTATAAACTTTCTCTTTAAAGGACGAAAAAAATAGGTTAGAAATTATTACTTTTAACATATTAAAAATAAAAATCAATAATAATTTGAAAAGAATTAATTATATAAATTATATAATATAAAATTAAAAATTATATTTTTGAATCTAATAATTACTAATCTGTATATAATTAAGGAAATAAAAGATGATGTTGCTTTTGTAATTATTCACCAATTTCATAGAATTAAATACTATCTACAGATTAGCATCGAAGCGTCTTTTATGATTGTGATTTTAATCACTGTCAGATATCAGTATACTTGACCCAACTATGCCACGCCAGCACTGTGCTAGGTTGAGTTTTTAATATTTAAAACCCGCAACAAATTAAGAATAATTATTTTCAGAAATATTGGTATTGGAGCTTAGCCACAAACTTTAAAAATAAAGGTTTTTTCCCTCATGGTTATCCAAGTTTCAATACTTAGCCTAAATGGATTTTTCATGATCGTAAACCTGCCTGTTTCATGATTAGTTTATTATATATCGTTAGGTCTCGCGTGGGGTTTGTTCACTGCAATTAGATATTTTAATAATATGGTGGACGGTTAGTTATAAAAAGCTCTGAGTGGCCCAGTTCAATTTTTGACGAAGGTCATTGAACAAAAATATTGACAAAAGAGCGCACAACAATGCAACTGTTAGTGTTGGCGATGAATTATGATTTATCAATTTTAAATAAATATTCGTTGTCAATAAAATTACAACACATTTTAGCATATTTTCATTGTTTAATTCGTTAGCCAACGCATTAAACCCAAACGCGTAGAGTAAAATTTCAGTTCGGACCTGTACACGCTGATAAAATTGATAAGGCAATTACGTATATAATAATGATCATTCAAAAGTATTACTGGCTTAGTGTGAATACACGAAATTAGTATTTGCTAACGAACATTTAAAACTTTTTACCGCAATCGATATTAGGCATCGGTCCAATTAAAATATTGGCCACTAAATGAATGCAATGAAGTATACCAGTTAACGCGGGTTTGTGTGCCATAATTTAAATATAGATTGTTGATGTTCAGTCGATCATGGAAAATCTACCCGTTATGTGGCTAAAACCGTCCAGGGCATTCCTTAAGATTGATATTGATATTGCGGTTTACGTGATATCTAGTCAACAAAGAAAAGTTTAAAACGAAATTTTTCCTGTTTTTTTAAATGCGGTATTGATTATGTCGTTAAGACAACCCGCAAAAAAATTATCTTTAATCCTATATTATACAAGTTCTCTCGATGTATACAATTATAAGCCTTCTTGAAATCAACAAATGATTGTTAGTAATTTTGGCGATATTCGAACATTTTTTCTATTATTTAGCCTATGACTAAAAGTTGTTCTATTGTTGATCTTTCTTTTTGGAATCTACCTAAATATTCTTTTACAAATGCCGTTGGCCGGTTCAACAATATATTTGTAAACATTTTATAAACTAAATTTAGGAATGATATTCTTCTATAATTATTGTAATTTAACTAATAGCCGTTTTTATGTATCGGTATTATTATAGCTTTCGTTCAACTTATTTGCATTTGTTCGTCAACATCCACCCCTATGTACTAGTAGCCATAAAGAACAAAAAATATCTCAAATGCTCTTTTAGATAATTGAGTAGTATTTCAAATACATTTAAACATTTTTTATTTATACGCATATTATTTTTTTTAGAAACAACATTGGAATATGATTGTGGTATACAAGATAACGACAAATCTGAATTTTTTGATTCAATAACAAAGTAAATATTATTAAATTTTAAGCAATATATTATTATTATACTTACAGTAATGTAATAAATAAAAAAATAAAAATAAATATTAGAATATAAGAAAAGTAAAATAGTAAATAATTAGGGGGAAAAAAGTCTAATAACAAAAATAGTGAGAGATAATTTAAATGTGTAAAGGGATACAATTGTGGAATGGATAAATATTGGTATCTCAGGGTTGAATAATATTGAATAAATTATGTTAGATATCCTTTTTAAGTTTCATAATTGCTCTTAATGATTTATTACACAATAGACTGTTTGAGGTTCGAAAACATAAGTTAAATTGTACCTACCTTATATCATATGTCACGCAATATAATTTTAAGGGATACAAAGTTGATTCTGGTATTCAATGCACTACGTATACGTTTCACACTACGCGTCGTATAGTCAATATAATAATTTACAAAAACGATTCAAATTTTAAATAAATTAAACGACTTCATTGCATAAAATCTATGACTAATTTTTGTATCTAAAAAATTCTAAACACTATATATTTATTAAAATAATAATTTTATATTTTGGCCTAATTAATTTTTTTATTTTTATTAAATAAGTAATTTCTTCGAGAGCGTATATTTTATTGAGACATACCAATATTCTAGCCTGACCAAAACAAGATTCAAAAATATTTAAACACGTGTAAAAATGTTATCAAGGCGGTATTAATATTCTAAGTCCAAATTAAATAATAAAAAAACGGTAGCACAGTGGGGTCGAGGCACAGTATTGACGAGCCATAGATGGGACAAGTATAGATGATATCTGACAGTGATTAAAATCACTACCATAAGAAACGCTTCGATGCAAATCTGTAGATAGTGTTTCATTTAGAGAAATTGGTGGATTATTCCAAAAGCAACATCAACTCTTATTTCTTTAATTATATCCTGATTAGTAGTTCTTTGATTTTAAAATATAATATATGAATAAATACTAATTATAGTTTTTAAATTTAGTACGAAATTGTGAGGCCAGCTATGATGTATGGTTCATAGTGCTGGGCGGTTGATAAGAAAGTAGAGCAGCGAATAAGTGTAGCAGAGATAAGAATGCTTAGTTGGATGAGTGGAGTGACTAGAGAAGATAGGATAAGGAACGAGCATATAAGAGGAAGTATAGGTGTTGCGTCAATCGTGGATAAGATGACAGAAAATAGACTTAGATTGTTTAGTCATGGTATGAGGAAAGAAGAATCGAAAGCTGTAAGAACAGTTATAGAAATGAATGTTGAAGGAAGAAGAGATAGAGGAAGACCAAGGAAGAGATAGAGGGATGCTATTGAATGCGATTTGAGGACAGCTGATGTGAGCGTAGAAGATGTGGGAGATCGTGTCAAATGGAAGCTTAGGATAAGGGTGGCCGACTCCAAGTAGTTGGGATTAAGGCAAAGAAAAAGAAAAAGATTACCAGAAATTCCGGTGGCAATTGACATAATATGATTGTTGTTTGAGAATGTACAATTTAGCGTTTAGTTGGGTTTAAACAATATAGCGACAAAACAATTACCTACTCTATCGCTTGAATATTAATATACACTACACTTTAATGATACAATATATAAATAAACTCACACATATGCAGTTATAACATTGTGTCTAATGTAAGTATAACATGATAAAAAGTAACCGTAAAATGAAAAAAAAATGGAATATAAATTTTAGTTCATATTAAATGTAATGTAACTCGAAAAATATTTNTTCATATTAAATGTAATGTAACTCGAAAAATATTTGTTTAAATGAAAAAATATTAAATTATTTTTTTTGTTTATAATTGTCTTTTAAACAATTTTTGTACGAAACTTTTTTTTGTAAGTTAAATATTTTTTGAGAAAATTAAAAAAGCTCATATTTTTGAACTTTTGCGAGGCTGTAAAAAAAAAAGCTCAATTCCAATCTTGAGGACTATTAGTATGTCATTATACATATCTTAATTCAACTTTTAAAAAAACAAAATTTGGTTGGGAATTTTTTCTGTTATTCGACAAAATTACTCATTCGTTGACTAGAATAAATTATTAAATAGAAAATTTTATTAGAATTAAAACAATGTTATTTTTAAGATTAATATGCAGTCAGGTTATTTTATAATTACTATTTACAGTATATTTATCAGAAAAACTCAATTTTGATTTGCATTTTTATCGTAATAGATCACTTAAATAGAAATCATAGTAATCATTTCTAATTACTTTTTGATATTTAAAAAGATTCTACAATTGAAATATCCAGAACTGAATTAATTTTAATGATTTACTTCAACTAAAAAAAAATAATTAAGAACAAAAAAAATCGTTTTAAATTAATACTGATTTTTATTATTAATATGTTAAAAATAAGGAAAATGACATGTTTAAGCTATTTTTTTAATCGTTTAAAGTTGATTGTTGTAAATGTTTATAATAAAAAAAAATAATTTATTTTACCATAACTTTTAGCTCAATTGGAAACTTTGACATTGACATCATTAAATAGAACATTTTATGACAATTAAAAAAATTGTATCGTTAAGATCAATATGCAGTCAGAAAGTTTTATAATTACTATTTATTGTAAATTTATCAGAAAAGCTCAATATTTTTTTGCATTTTTATCGTAATAGATAACTTAAATAGAAGTAATAGTGTTAATTTCCTAGTAACCTTTGTTGTTTGAAAAGATTCTACAATTGAAATATTGAGAACTTAATTAATTTTAATGATTTACTTTAACTAAATGAACCATCAAAACAAAGTTTTTAAAAAGATTTACTCAATTGAGCGTATTATAAAATTTGATTATATTTGTAAAAATCAATTGTTAATTCGGGTGAAAAAACAATTATTTTTTTTAGAAATGATTTATATAGCAATATGTTATCAAAAAATTTGCAATATTACAGTCTAGTAGTAGCACACACAAATAGAGTAAAAAAATTATTAAATTACAAAGTAAAATTATTTAATTTTGTAGTTGAAACCTATCATATCAAACTTGATTCGTCAATAAATACTTTGAAAACATTAGAAATGAATGATTTTAATTGTTTGTATGGAGAACATGGGATAACTAACTGTTTGATTGATAAATTAGAATTTTTTTTCAATTTTTGAGGGTAATATCTTCAACCTAGATACGAATTGTAGTCATTTGACGTATCGTTGAAAAAAATAAATCAAGTTAGAGCAGAGAAAATAAATGATAGTCACAAAAAAATATCTTCTCGGCTTTGCATCGAAGCGAAAACTTAAAATATAGTAAAATAATTTTAATACGAATAAGAAATTTCTTCTTGCAAGGGGCGACTAAAGTGATGGGATCCTTGATCTTTATTGAAGTTATTGAATCTAAATGAGATAAAAATCAAACGAGTTAAAAATTTATACTAACTTAAAAAGAATTAAGAAAAAATGCAAAAAATGCAATGCATACGCGGGGTGGAACCTCGTACCCCAAGCGTGTAAAACATAAGTTTTACCAACTAGGCAACCGTACGTTGCTACCGACGCCTGAAAAAATTAGTTATTTAAGCTAGTTCAAAGTACAAAGTTATTTTTCTCGGCTTAAAAGAATCAAACAAATTTAAATAAGTTTAACTTTCTATACTATATTAATTTTTTATTTATATAATATTTATGAAAATCTGTACTCCCCTTGTCAGGTATTTTAAAATAAAATAAAATACAAAACCCAGAATTTTAACACAAAAATAGCATATTTTTGCATACGGTAGTCATTTTTACCATGAAGACAAATCCAGAGGTCAAATTTTTTTTTTTCACATTAAAGTATATTACATAAGCTTTAATTTAAGATATATTTAAAAGTGTCAGTATTTCCGGAATACTTTCAAAAATTAAATTGAAAATATCGTAGTAACAATACGCATGTTTAAAGTTTTGACCCCCCTTGTTAAAGGGGTATGATCCGATTTACAAAAAAAGCGTGCCAGATGAAAGGGGTATATAAATATTTATTATAAAAAAATAATAATATTGATCCATACATTTTTCCAAAAGTTATATAAAATATAAATTAAATAATATAACATATAAAATCGAGATTTTTTTCACGGAAATCGTACGTTTTTCTTTAACTTTGATGTCCGTTTTCACCACGAAGACAAGTCCAGAGGTCAAATTTTAAGGTCAAATTTTTTTTTTCATTACATAAGCTTTAATTTAAGATATATATATATAAGTGTCAGTATTTCCGGAATACTTTCAAAAATTAAATTGAAAATGTCCTAGTTTCAATAAGCATGTTTAAAGTTTTGGCCTCCATTGTATAAAGGGGCATGATCCGATTTACAAAAAAAGTGTGTCAGATGAAAGGGGTATATAAAAATTATTTATAAAAAAACAATAACATTGATCTATACATTTCTCCAAAAGTTATAGCAATATAAATTTAATAATATAACATATAAAATCGAAAATTTGTTTACGGAAATGGTACGTTCTTCTTTAACTTTGATGTCCGTTTTCACCACGAAGACAAGACCAGAGGTCAAATTTTTTTTTTTCAAAATAAAGTATATTACATAATCTTTAATTTAAGGTATATATAAAAGTGTCAGTATTTCCGGAGCATTTTCAAAAGTTTAGTTGAAAAAGTTCTACTTTCTATACGCATTTTAAAATGTTTGTACCCCCTCTGTATACAGGGAAATGTCCCGATTTAAATGAGTATGTCGAATGAAAGAAGTATATATAAAGTATTTATCATTAAAGAATAAAGTTGATTCATGCATTTTTTAAAAAGTTATAGCAACATAATGTTAAAAAATGTAAAATATAATATCAAGAATTTTTTCACAAAAATAGCATATTTTTGCATACGGTAGTCATTTTCACCATGAAGACAAGTCCAGAGGTCAAATTTTTTTTTTTCAAATTAAAGTATATTACATAAGCTTTAATTTAAGATATATATAAAAGTGTCAGTCTTTCCGGAACATTTTCAAAAGTTAAGTTGAAAAAGTTCTACTTTCTATACGCATTTTAAAAGGTTTGCACCCCCCCTGTATAAAGGGAAATGGTCCGATTTTAAAAAAAAGTATGTCGAATGAAAGAAGTATATATAAAGTATTTATCATTAAAGAATAAAGTTGATTCATGCATTTTTTAAAAAGTTATAGCAACATAATGTTAAAAAATGTAAAATATAATATCAAGAATTTTTTCACAAAAATAGCATATTTTTGCATACGGCAGTCATTTTCACCATGAAGACAAGTCCAGAGGTCAAATTTAATTTAAGGTATATATAAAAGTGTTAGTCTTTCCGGAACATTTTTAAAAGTTAAGTTGAAAAAGTTAATTTTTTGTAAAAAAGCTACCATTTTGAAACCCTTCCTGTGGGCTGTTAAAGGGTCAAATATTATATACAAAAATATATTAAATGATAGGTAATATCTAAGTTATCTATAAAAAAAAAATTATATTGATTCGGTCATTTTTAATAAAGTTATGGCAATTTTAAGTAAAAAAAATTGAAAAAATATCGAAAATTAGCGATTTTTAATTTTTTGGTGGATTTCCCCCGTTTACGGGGAATGAGGGAATTTTTTTCAATTTTTGAGGGTAATGTCTTTGACTAGTTACGATTTGTGATCTTTTGACATATTGTTCATCAAAATCGGTCCAGCAAGAGCTGAGATTGAGCGTTCACAGACACAAAAAAAAAAATAAAAAAAAAAAAAAAAAAANAGATTGAGCGTTCACAGACACAAAAAAAAAAAAAACACATAATAGTAAAATTAATACCTTCTCAGCCTCGCATCTAAGCTAAAATACGACTAAGTCTCAGAGGGTGAGAATCTTGAGAGAGTGCCCCAGATTTTGTGCATTTTAAAATTACCGAAAGAACTGGTTTTGACTGGGGAAAATGGCTTTTTATAGAGTCAGAAGGGAGTAATCTAGCGATCCCTAGCGTAATCTTGGTAGCTGAGGCTTTCTGTTCCAGTTGTTCAATTATAATAGGGGAACTGAGTGTAGGCTTTACTAAAAATCTGTACAAAAAGTAGATTTTATCCCATAATTAGCTGATTATTTTGTATTGTAAATAAGGGAACCATGTTTTAGTGATATTGTATATTCATAATATGTGACATACATATACAAACGATAACATCATATGATATGTTAATATTATAAGTGATAATCCGTTACAAACTTGTTAAGAAGTTGTATAAATACAACACATATTATTCGAATTAGTTTTTAGATGCATACTTGTAATAACATTAATTTGTTGAAATATTTTAAACATTTTATTTTAACATTTTAAGTGATAATATAATATTACAGTAACTTTAGTTATAACAAAGCCGTAGACAGATTTTTTTGGAGAAATCTCAAATATAGCAACAATGATCTCAAAATATATATCGAGTTCATTTTTAAAAATAAAGGCTAATGTTATCTCAGCTTTATGAGAATTCAAAAGAATTCTATCATCCGGTTTGGACACCCTGATGTTAGTAGTTGAGTTTATTACACCTTCGCTAGCTATTAACAATATCAGAACTAAATAATTTTGTTATTTATACGGACCATACTAATTCAGAAAATACTAAATATTGATGACGACAGCAAAAAATAAAAATGTCGGTTCCTATATCTGAAGATGTTTAAATCCAGCAAAAGATTTTAATTTAAGATAATTGCATCAAAGAGTCAAAAATTTCCTTGTTTAATTGTAAATAAAAATTATAGAAAAGAAAATATTATACTCAACAATTAATTAATGAAAAATGTTTTAGATTTTTTGAGCTATTTGATGAGAGAATAATTAAACCATGGCTGTATCCAGACTTTATTTTTAATATTTATAAAAAAATAACAGGGTTGAATCAAATATATGAAAAATTATTTAAATTTTCCGACAAGGTGAGTTTTATAACATTTAAAAAAAAAGGTAGGTACGATTATATTTCTATAAATATGTTAATAAAATTAATGTCTGATGTTTGACGCAGGAAGTAAGCAATGTTTCTTAATGGTAATTTGGAAGAGTATAAAACGAAAAAACATAAATTCTACTTAATTCTAGTGTTTAATTAGTATTATTCTTTTGCATAACTGGATAAAGATTTTACTACTGTTCTGGAGCTAATTATTTATTTATTTTTATTAATAACCGAGGAACCAAAATAAATCAATTATATTCTATAAATGCAGTTCTTTCATCAAAAACGATAATTTAGCTGCATTGTTAACTAAGTCATCATAATTTATCCGACACTAAACACTAGCCAATTTTGTAATTTGTACTTAAAAGTTGAAAACCATGTTTAATAACTGGCATTATATTTAATTAAAATAATGTCAGTCAAGGTACAAATTTTATCATTAATTGTAATTAAATTAAAAAATTTATTTTAAGCCAATGACAACGAAACGGAATGATTCAAGTGTCACATAGGAAGTAAAAACTGGAGAGAGCGAGAGTGAGAGCCGCCTTTTCTCGGTATTTTGTCATGATCTAGTTGATAGACTTTGCACCCTACATAGTAGTAAAGGTACTCTGATTAGGAGCTAGCGATGTAATAAGACACCTGATGAGAGAGACGAGGTATTGGTGTATTCAGTATACCTCAAATTCTATGGTATCGTGCAGATCCCCTCAGTTTTCTGAACATAGTTTTCTAAATATCAATTTATAGATTTGTTGTTTATTTGATATTGCTAAAAGTATTAAAATTTAAGATTATAAGAAATTATTCATTTTACATTTATTTCTTTGTATCCAATTCATAATCTGTATTATAATTTATGAATAACACAATTTCCATTAGATAATTAAAGAAAAAAAAATCCAATTTGACCAAAGGAAGAAAACCAACCACAGTACTTTAAACATAACCAGAAATGAAAGTAATGTTCTAATTAATTTATATTGTATTAATTTATGAAATAAATATTGATTACTATTGTAGAAAAACAAAAAAATACATTATTGAATGTGTTGTTGGAGTTAAATGATGATGGAGCAAATTTTTCAAACAAAGATTTAAGAGATGAAGTTTTAACTGTGATATCTGGAGTAAATTAATATAATTTAAATTCTAATAAATTATTTAATAACCCAATTCATATAATAACAATATTTTTAAAATAGGGCAGTGAAACTAGTTCTATAACAACTTGTTTCTGTATTTTAATGTTAGCTATCAATCAAGATATACAGGTGATATACAGTTATATAAGTTATCATCAATATTTAAAATTTAATTTCAAATTTACAGGACAAAGTTTATGATGAAATCTACCGAATAATGGGAGAAGATGATCGAATAATAACAATTGAAGATACCGTTAAGTTTGTATATCTGGAACAATGTATCAAGGAAACTCTTCGATTGTACCCCGTAGGAGCAGTGTTTATGAGATATCTTCAAGATGATGTCAAAATACGTAATTTCTTTGAGTGTATAAATATAAGACCAGTTTAAAGTCGTGATTTTGGTTTTTAAGGTAACTACACAATTCCAAAAGACACTACTGTTATTATATCACCAATAGGTACCCATCATTTACCAGAATTGTACCCAAACCCCTGGAAGTACAACCCAGATAATTTTAATCCAGAAAAGGTTGCTAAACGACACAAGTATAGTTTTATTGCATTTGGTGGTGGACCTAGGAACTGTATAGGTACTTATGAGTAATTCATATTCTTATAGAATAAATAAGACCGATTCCACATTTTTAATAATTTAGGGCAAAAGTATGCAATGCTATTTATAAAAGTTCTGTTATCAACATTTTTACGTAACTATAGTGTACATACTAAATGCAAAATGTCTGACATAAAGTTAAAACTTGAGTTATCGATGAAAAGCGTTCATGGTTATCAAGTAACAATACGGCCAAGACATAGAAAAAGCAACTTACTAAGTAAAATTGAATGAAAAAATGTTATGTATAATTTAATAATATACAATTATGTTTATATGTTAATCATTAGAATATTAATAATTTTACAATATACATTTAGCTTCGATGCGAATTTTACCATGATGTGTTTTTTTTTTTTATGTCTGTTGAAACTTTTTCTCAGCTCTCACTGGACCGATTTCTTTCAATAATACGTCAAAAGATCACAAATCGTATCTAGTTGAAGACATTACCCTTAAAAATTGAAAAATTTTCCCTCGTTCCCCGCAAATGGGGGAAATATCCAAAAAAATTACAAATTTAAAAATTGGTAAATTTTGTCATTTTTTTCACTTTTTTTTCTTAACACTCCCATAACTTTTTCAAAAATCAACTAATTAACATAATTTTTTTTTATACTAAAACCTTAGATATTTTTCTTTTATTTGATATCATTTTTTTGAAAATCTAACACTTAACTTTTTTACAAAAACTAACTTTTTCAAATTAATTTTTGAAAATGTTCCGAAAATACTATGTCCTTTAAACATATGTCAAATTAGAGCTTATGTCATGTACTATAAAATTAAAAAAATTTTGTTCTGACGGCCTATCTTCTATGCGCAACTGGCTACCGTATTCAAAAATATGCTATTTGTGTATTAAAATTCTGGGTTTTGTATTTTATCTTATTTTAGAATATCTTATTAGGGGAATACACTAACTTTCATGAATATTATATAATTTAATCGACATAGAATAAAGTTCATAAGACATAAGAAATTAAACTTATTAAAATTTTTTAAAAAGGTAATTTTTAAATTTAAGTTAACTTAAATAGCTAATTTTATAATGTGATAGAAGCAACGATCCGTTGCCGAATCGGTAACACTAATGTCTTACACGCTTATGGTACGATGTTCAAAACCGTCTGTGACAATTAATATTTTGTATTTTTTTTTTTTGAGTTAAAATAAAATTTTCAAATCATTTGATATTTATCTCATTTAGATTCAATAACTTCAATAAATATAAAGGATCCTATTACTATAGTCTCCCCTTTGTGAGAAGAAATTTATATTCATGTTAATATTATTTTACTATGTGGTTTTTTTTGTGGCTACGATTTATTTTGCCAGCCCTCACTAGACCTACCGTAGCATCGGTTAGCGTTTCTACTGGACCGGTATTAGAGAATCGGTGCGACAATACGTCACGAGGTGTCACATTTGTGCATGTATAAAGCCTTTGAATCGGAAACCGCAAGATCCGATGACACCGAGAAAACCACGCCAGCCAATGGAGGTCATAAGTATTGATCTTATGGGCCCATATCCCAGGACTGCGCGCGGGAAAACATGCCTACTGGTAGCAACAGACTGCTATAGTAGACGGGTGGAGGCCTATTTACTTGGTCAGGCCACTACCTAGTCAAACACCGATACGTTAGAAAAAGAGTTCTTCTCTCGTTTTGGTTATGGTCGAGCGCTCTTGTCTGATAACGGGATGCAATTCGTCTCCAAAGCAATGGAGAAAACACTGGAGAAGTGGAGAATACAAGGTTGGACGACACCGATCTATCACCCCAGGGGGTCTATTTTTGAGCTTGGACTAATCATTGGCGAATGTTTTAGTACACTAAAACATTAGATTATGATTTTAGTGCACTAATGGAAATTCGTATTTTTGAATTTTATTTTTTATCAGTCTAAAAATCTTGCACTAATCGTACATCGTCTAATCTAATGTCATTTCAAACCAATAATTATTAGTGCGACATGTTAAATTATATTGGCTGTACTGTATTTTATATTAATTTTATAGTTAATACTTGATAATATTTATGATAACTACAAAATTTACCCATAAGAAATTTGTCACGAGTTTTTTGTCAGTATTTTTTATTTCAATTTGTGTAATGTTTTACAATGGAGGGGAAACAAAGTCAATAAGTGTGACTTATGAACAAAAACAATAATTAATTGAATTTGTTCATAAGCATCTAAAATTAAATTCTAAAAAATTTGGACCATCTTTTACCATGAAAGATGCCCAATTATTATGGCAAAATATTACCAAGATTTTAAATGAAACTGTTGGCCCAAAGAAGACACTAGCGAAAAATCGTAAAGCTGTTAGTACCTATCGTGACAAAAATTGTATTAAATTTTACTTATTGTTTAGTCAATATTGTACAATATTTTGCATACTTTGCGCTCTATACTTAGAGCAGACTTAATCGATGGGGGTTCTAAATATGGGCGTAGCTCATTAATTAAATTTAATGCAAGAACTTTTATCAGTCTAAATTTTTGTATAAATGCCCTTTCGGACAAAACTACAGAAAATAAAATTTTATTAATGTAAATAGATAATTTTACATATTGTAATTTGTTTTGTAACATACCAATGAACGGATCCTCCGCTAAACGAAATTTCATTGTTAATGGCCATTATCTTCAACTATTTCTAAATTACTAATAACTTGCACATAATTTATATTAAGAAAGTGTTCCATTTTAATATTTAATATTAAATAAATTTGAAAACGTTATAAATATAAAAATTTCATATAAATATGAATAACAGTAACATTAGTATACTAAAATCATAATTAGTGTGGTAGATACCACTCTAAAAAGATCATCTAAAACTTTAGTACACTAATAAATATTTTTTAGCATACCAACATTCAAAAATACGGTTTTTTAGTTTCACACTAATAGTTGCACTAAAACGTCATGTTTTAGTATACTAAACAGATTAGTACACCAATATAAAATTCAAAAATAGACCCCCAGGGCAAATCCAGTTGAGCGCCGAAATCAGGACTTGAAAAAAGGATGCCGGACTGCGCTGATCGAAAAACCACACAGCCAGTGGGACAGTTGCATTCCAAGTATTCTTTTTCAGTGAGAAACCGCAGGAACAGACTGACGGGATGCACACCATCAGTTTTAGCTTTTTTTTAATTTTATGATTTATATTTAATAGTTAATAAAATCACTTATTTAGATAGTATGATCTAAGAAACGGTTTCCTCGTCGTCAATTTTTTGTGGTTTAGTATGAAAGACAACCTCAAATAGTTAAACAGAAAATAAGTCTTTATTGAGAAACAATATAATTGTTAATGGTGTGTATGTCAGTAATCGCACTAGTAGACAATCCCCACTACTAATTTATATAATATTTGTTAATACGATTTATCAATCCGTTTAACTAATATAAAAAATATTTATGTTTCATTATCAGGTTACGTATGAATAATATATAAATATATTTTAATATATTAAAAGAATTATATAAATAGTACTATTTTACTCTTCAGAATATAATTTATTGTTAATTATGAATAACTTCCGGTGCGAGGCGTGAGCCCAGAAGCGGGACTCTCTCGGATTTACTCTCCCTCCACTCCTCTTCACCAACACCATGATTTGCGGTGGGTGGGTGAAAATAGGGGAACCTGACTCAACATTTTTACCCTACTCATGTTATATTTTATATAAATTTAATTTTAAGAACATTATACAAATTTGATTGCATTATTAATAACGATATGTAATATTTAATTTTAGTGTATTATACACAAAATCAATTAGGAATTATTTATAAACCAATTTCTCGACATAAACACTTCATAAAAACTGCAATAAGTAGAATTTATATTCATATGAAATAAACATGATGTATATGAATTATTTGTTGACAGTTATTATACGAGGGTAGACGATATCTCAAATGTCAAAGACATTTACGTGTGGTATATTCTGTTGCAAAATATTTCTTTTTAACATGCTTTTATTAGCTTCACCTGTATGTTTGTTTGAAACTCTCCTTTATTAATTATTATATCAAAACATTTTTTAAGATAATATACATGTATAATGCATAAGGGATTACAAATACAGGTAGCTAATTGGTTTTTAAGACGATATTAGTAGGTATATAGCCTTTATTAACAATGGTAATAAGACGAATTGTTGTAAGTTTATAAATACACAAACTGGTAATACAGAAATTATATCTAATGATAGTAATAATTGCCAATAAACACTCCGTGACTGTGACTGTTTTCCTTGAGTAAAAAAACAGTTGACAACAATGGATTATCATAATCTATTTGTTGTTGCACACTGTACTTACTCTTCTCCGTTGTACTTGTTGGTGATTCGTTTCTATAAATCGTCAAATTCGTACGATCCCGTCGGTAGTGTTAACACCATAATTGATTTGTCAACAGTGCCTAAAATGAATTTCTTACATTCCTCGTCAATATTTGGTATCTTATTCCGCGTGTGCAAGCTCAATAGTCGAATTTTATATTTGTAAGTGATGTCGATAGGTGAATGTGCATTGCAATTCAGATCCCACGCCATAGTGACGTTGTTGCTATGTTGTTGTTGTTCGATTAAAAATTCAATTCACAAGTGGCCACAATTTATCCTGTTGAATTTTGATATCTACTGTAGTTGTGGACAATTATGCATCTTTGTCGTGTTCTTCTTAGAATTCGTACTCGTCAATTTGAAACCCAAACCGGACTTGAATTGTTGCAAGTAAAAACCTTTACCCGTGCTTATCGCTATATTGCCTTAATATCTGAGTTTGGGCGCCACCTTCACCACATTTGTAGCACTGCCGGCCAACGCTCCCATTACCAACAGTCCGGAAATATAGGTATGAGCGGTAGTATATTTGGTTTATGGTGCGGAGGAGTGAATTTTTTTCTTTCTCACTATACGTCGTACGGCCATCAACGATCATCACTCAGTAAATTCATATTTTGAGCATTTTTATCGAGTTTGACCGAACACATGACCCGTTTGAAGCTCATGCCAAGTTTACGTTTCAATTTTATCACACCCCAAGCTACAACTCATTCAGACAACTTTTGCGTGGTATCCAAGGAGTGCAATTGTATACCTATGAAAACGGGGATGATGTACCGTCGGTAGACAACGTTCTGCCCAATTCAGTTTTTATATTCATGATTGGACGATAAATTGGATAAAATTGCTTCACAGCAACAGCAACAACAGAAAAAACAATAACAACAAGAACAACTACAGAAAACTAACAAGGGTTTAAACGATAGTTATATATTATAAAAGATGTTTTACCATCAGTACATGTA